TAACAGCAGCTCTACTTTGAGCTAACAGCAGCTCTACTTTGAGCTAACCGCAGCTCTACTTTGAGCTAACAGCAGCTCTACTTTGAGCTAACCGCAGCTCTACTTTGAGCTAACAGCAGCTCTACTTTGAGCTAACAGCAGCTCTGCTCTGAGCTAACAGCAGCTCTGCTCTGAGCTAACAGCAGCTCTACTTTGAGCTTCAAACCAGTTGTTTCGAAACCAGCACTCCTCAATCCAAAGATGCCTCTTTGTTGACTTGTTTGTGTGAGGGATGGGGCTAAAGGTCCCTAATGGCCAAGGTCCTTGCAAGTGCAACCGTTTGAAGTGATGTGCGAAGGCCTCTTTTACGGGCAAAAGAAAAACACAATGAATGGAAGTGCAATACAAAAATTAGTAAAAAGAAAGAATGAAAAAAGAAATGCAAGCACAGTAAATCAAAGGATTTTGAACCCCAAAGCAACAGTAATTACATGTACATAATATACATGTACATGTACAAGTATTATAATTATGTGAAGGAAACTAGCGCGACACCGTCAGCGTGTAGCTGGTATGCAGTGTCATGTACATGTACATGTAGAGGCGACGGTTTCAAATAGGACATAGGTTGTAAACCGGAACGGACTCAATATTCACCTTCTCTCTTGGTTTTTTTATTAGAAAACATAATGTCACAGTGAGACTACGTATCTAATATTGACTGAGTACGAGGTCAATAGGAAATAGAAGCCGAGGAAAAGACCGAGGCGAAGTCGAGGTCTTTTACGAGGTTTTTATTTCCTATACTGACCAAGTACGAAGTCAATATTAGATTTATCACGACAAACAGTCCGTATTTCAAATTCCAGAACGATAACCTCATGAATCGCGGCTTTATGATTGCACAACCGTTGCACCACCACCTACTTATGCAGTGGCAATGCTGCAGTAGGCACTGCGCAACCCCTAAGCAGTCAAATATAAGCAGTCAATATAGCCCTAAGGAGTGAAATATGCAGGAATATTTGACTGCTTAGGTATAGCGAAAATCAATGGGAGTCAATACTAAGGCCTAGTAAGTAAGGGAGTGATAAGATGTGTTATACTCCGAACCAAAATGTCATGGCTCCGCGATGACCAGAAGCGCCATACCAAGCAGGTGAGTTTTTGAAGTCGTGCTGCGCACTGCGACTTGAGTTTTACGACTTTCGAAAAATCAACTTCTTGTCGCAGGTAAACAGCGGCTCGCCTCTCGCCAATAAAGCACTCATACCAATCAAAACTAATGGAAGAATACTCTGTACTGACCGTCATGGAGCGATAGCAATAAACTAATTTCAGAACTCAGAGTGAATTTGACATGCACTCTAAAACCTTTCCGGTTTGGAGCCACCTCTGATTTGAAGCGAAAAATTGGGCAACTTGGAGGCAGTGGGTCAACACAAAGGAGTGGCTCAGTTCGATTGACTCTGGCCTCAGAGCAAACTTCACCATGCCAGTTTCCTTCCACAAACATATTTCGAGTGAACAATCCACGCCGATGATCGATTTGGGTCTACACAAATTTGGCTGTCAAGCCGTTCCGGTATCGAACCGTCGCCTCTACATGTACATGATTGTACATGTACATGTATGTGACCAGTACAATTGCAGTACCTAACACAGATTTTTCGAGTGATGCGATGTTGGTAGGAGTGCAAAGTGATGGATAAAGTACGAGGATTTAGCGTCCCTTCAATTGAGTGTCGTACATGTATAATAACAATATTGTTTATTTACAGTAACAATATACCGTGTAATAGAGAAGCGAGAGGTTGGCCAGTGCCTAAAATTGCTAAATTATCATGCACGCACCTTATGGTGACACTGTGTGGAGAAATAATAAGCTCACGTTCGAGAACCTGCACGCGCAGGAGCAGGTACAGGGGGGGGGGGGGTAGTACATGGTATTATAATTATAACCCAATACTAGTTCAAAACTAGTATTAGATAAACCCATGGCCGCGTCGGGACATCACCAACCCCGTCTACAGAGAGCACCTTCTCGCGACAGTGTCATGGTGGTGGCAGTAACTGTTGCCAGCTGACGAGCTGAGAGATGGACGCCATGGGCAGAAGTTGGAAGAAAAGAAGATATACATTGTAAGAAAAGCAATTCAGGTTTTAGTAGCTACATGACTATCCGGACGACATCCAGGAGCGATCAAAGAATACATGACGGACGTAAGGAGAAGTCTAAAACTCCCCTAGCATAATGAGAGTCAGAACTGGGTTCAACACCCATTATGGTTCAAATGGTCCGAAGGGACCGGGGCTCTGCCAACCGCGGAAGGTTGTAGTAAGGTCACTGTTTCCGAACACAGTGTCCTCCACCTTGTTTCATGCTGTCAATCTAACAATCATGTACATGTACATGTAGATGGTAACCTTAATAAGTACTCGAAGTATACATGATTGTGTTGAGTAACTACCAGACGTACCAGACAGATACATGTACATGTACATATACAATCATAATTGTAGGTATGGTAGCTGGAGCACGAACAGTTTTAGAATGGATTGCCACTAATGTGAAAAGGCATAGTGGTGGCCTGCGGAAGCGAAGGCTATACCTTGTGTGTTTCTGAACATTCAGGTGATGCTAACGCGGATCCCGCGAATACTATTATAATTATTATGCCTTCAGGCCGGGTATCCATATGTACATGTATAGTCATGTACAGGTACATGTACAGTCATATACATGTACATGTATCTCATTTCCGGTTGCCTACCTCATTTACAATGTAGTTCATGTACATGTACATGTATGTCCTGCCTCCTTATTGTAAGCCGCAGGCCATACATGTACATGTACATGTACATGTAAGACTATTTGAGCACACAAACATGCACAATACTGTCATGTACATAATCATTGTACTTCTTAGTACATGTACATGTACGTAATATGGGTGAGGCATCATGCATATTTCATGGGCAGCTATCTCTTCCAGAAAATTTGTTTTGTGGGAAACGAGACTCGGTGGAATACTTTCCATGTCGAATTCAATGAAGAAAGTAATAACATGAGACACATGTTACCGGTTTTGGAGCCTTCAATGCTGCTGGTGTTGCTGTGGCTGCTTTTCCGTTAGCTCTGGGCTCCGTGGATTATCCTTTTTGCTCAAAAGACCATTGTTCTGCGTTTTATTCTGCTCATTTTGGATGAAAAAGTCCATATAATTATAATGTTATCATTATTCTATGCGTTCTGCAGGGGCTGATGAAGGCGGCAAAGTATAACGGGCCTGGCAAGATGTTGTCTGATTGGTAGTTACACCTGCTGCTTCAGGGAATGATTCCGAGTGGATATACGACCGTTCACCGAAATCGCGTTCACAGAACGACCATTCACAGAACGACGTTTCACCAAAAGACATTTCACAGAATGACAGTTGACCGCCACTGAAGATTCACCAAAATATCTACGGTATTCACCGAATTTTCATTCAAAGAATTCTGTTTCGTCGAATCCCGGTTCACAGACCCATTTTTTCACCGAATGGACAGTTCACCGAAAATTACTTACATGTATATTTGACCCAACATCATGGTCGCTTATTCAGTTATTGTGTAATGAAAGGTACTCAAGCCTCTCTTACCGGCTAAAACTAACACAACACAATGAATTAACATGCAAAGCAACACTTGTGGTGCCATTTAATGGAAATAATCACATCACGGCTCCACAAAGAAAGCCAGATTTAATATGGGCAATACCACGCAAAAACTCCAGTGGCGGGCGTTGCTCAAATGTTGTCACTACAGTGCGCAATCGCTGATCAACCTTCCTGTACCGCTCCTTCCTTGTTGGCCTATCTTGCCCAGCACGCATTCTTTCTTCAGTGCTTCGTTGCTCGTTCCTTAAGTTCTCGATCAGCTTCCACAATGTCGGATGATGGCATTTTACTACAGCTGGAAATCGGCCATGCCAACCTTCCTGGATGTTGTTCGTTCTGCTTTCTCCATTAGCCGTTCATGTGTGTACGTTCCACCATTCATATTGGAACAAAGGCGAAACTGCTATTCTTTAGAGGATTCGAATGCGATATAATTATATCGATGTCATCAGCGGCCTTTTTTCGGTGAAACTGCCATTCGGCAGAACTGCTATTCTGTGAATCGATATTCGGTGAACATGCTCTCGATGAACCTGTTTTCTGTGAACCTGATTTTCGGCGAAATGAACAGTCGCTAAATCGTACACTCTGTGAAATGTCTTTCGGTGAAACGTCTTTCTGTGAATGAACGTGTTTTCGGTGAACCGTCGGGAAACCATGTTTGCTAAAAATAAACATAGAATATATAACATCACTTCTTCTATTCATTAGTTGACTTCTTTTGTAATCGATTTTTCATGGCCAATAATATATTATGGCAATATGTCTGCCTCACCCTGCGAAGTAGTACCCTCTTTCATCATGGCTCGTGCCAAGCCAGGCCAGGTCGCTTGTCTACATTGAGCAAATTCTTCCTATCGACGGACTCGAGAAAGGGAACAAGTCTTTGTTACTTCCCTGCATTATCTCTAACTTCTAAGTCCACGCTCCAATGTGTTTGTGTTTGTGTCTGGCGGAAGATCATCGAAATTTGAGGTCAGCGGAAAACTCCCAAGTGGACACTTGAGGCTTTGAGTGAGCTGCTGCTGTCACTCAGCGGTTGGCTCTATCCGTACCTGGCGCTTGCATGCTGCGTTTTCGGCAGTCCGAAGCGTCAAGACTAGGGCATGGTTGTAGATCTAGCACGGGTAACAGATGCGATGTGTGAGAAGTGAGTTATAAAAATACAATACAATACTCTCTTCGCAAGCGACTCCGATAACCGTCAAGACTCAAGGTGCAGAGGTGTAGATAAGTTGCACCACTTTACACTGACAGACATAACTGCACTGAAGTAGCAACACCAACACTAGCTGTGTTTAATACACAGAATCATGAACCAGTCCATCAACACTACACTCCACAGTTAGTTGTGCCGGTTCACCAGAAGACTGATAGCCGTACACATGCAGACAGCTACAGCTACATGTAGGAGCAAGTAACTAGTTACGTATACAGATGCACCCATGAGGTTTGCAGGTGCAGAAGGAATACCGGTAGTGTGCTTCCCAAAGCGGCTCTAGCAAACAAAAACGTCTCCTGTCTCACGCCTTTTGACGGAACTGGCGACCGTAGCTACCGTTCTTACATTCAAACTATGCTGTTTTCGTGAGTTTGCCGCTGAGTCCTACGTAGTGCAGTACTGTTAGAGCAGGAGAAGGAGTAGCAAAAACCGTCGTGAACAGGAAACAGCCGCAAGGAAAGAAACGACTGCATGAAAACATAATATCGGCTGAGTCTTTCGGACAACTGCCGCTCGTATCGTAGCCTACACGGGTGTCTTCATGGCGGTGGTGCAGGTGCTAGTGGTCGTGTTTACCACAGTATCTTCCATTCAGTTCACCGGTGTTACTGCGACGGAGGGAGATAGTGGACACGCGCAACGATGGCAACAGGCGGAAGAGTATTTATCTCACAGGGTAAGGGAGCAATGTATGACTACCTGCTACTTCTCCAGATGCATAGAGAACAGAGAAAAAAAGGTTGAAAGTAAAATGTAATAGTTACTTTTGCCAAAACATTGTTTACGGGGCTGCGGAGCACAGCCTGGTGGAACATTGCAGATTAAGATGTCCGGGGTTCGTCATGAAGGTAAGGTATACACATAGGGCACATTCTACCTTGGGATTTAGCTTAGACAATGCCACCGCATCCATCTACAGTACATGATCTATGTAACCATAATGGGCCAAACGCTGTAATGCCCGTGCAACGCTGTATGGCAGTGATGGTGACGAATAGCCCATTCCCAAAGATGCCATAATTTTTTTGATATAATATATTGAGAAAAGCATATTATGCTTTTCTCAATCGTGCCAAAACAAATGCAAGTTGCTGAAATCGCATCCCTATTTTCAGAAAAAGATCGAAAGTTGCTAACATCGCAACTTGAAATGAGAGAGTTTTTGTGCATACAATGATGCCAAAACAACCAAAAAAAGGAGCGGAAATACCAAAAGTCCAGCGACGGCAAAATCTTTACCCCTTCCTTCTGTGAACTACAAGTAACTTTAGTTACAGTTTACACAGTGCAAGTAGCCTGTTGCATGCATCCTCCATCATTTCAGTGCACGCAAAGGGAATCCCCATAACGCAACTGCCGTATATCCACTGTCTCTCTGAAATTAATCTGAAGGCACACGAGAAATAAGCTTGTATCCACTTGTCTGACATGAAGTCTGTGACTTAACCTTTTGATCCCATGCCATTGGGCCAAGGTGAAAATTTCGAAAGCCGCGATACTGAAGAAAGTAGCGATTTCTTCCAAAACAACAAAAAATTGCGAAAAAGTGGTGAGCATCTTTGGGAAAGGGCTAGTTGTTCCGCAGGACTACACCACGCTAGTCCATAAACATTGAAACTGTGATGGATCGTAACTACACACTGGGTTCTTCGTTATAACCAAAAACGCAAACGTGCTATTAGTGAGTAAAAGCAAAGTGTAATCGACAGACGCTCTTCGTCTCACTTGGACTCTAACTCTCTAAACGTATTCTGACTTCTGGCTTGTGTAACTGAGTCCAAGCGACCAATATTATGCTATAGATGAATATCGCAGCACAACTGCAGCGTAGCTAAGGAAAGGTGAATTGCCTAGAGGCAAATGCATAGCTTGTCGCGATAGAACTGCGACCACATAGGTGCAAACTGACAATACTGAAACACCGGCGATGCCACAAAGTGTCTGGCGTGCCCACTACTAGTCTATTGACATGATCTATGGAAAGGCGCCTACACGTCTACCTCAAATGTCTAAGTACCGTGAAAATGGATGAATACAAACCAGCAAAGCGCCATAATGCTGTAGGGCATGCACATAGAATCGGTATGGCTCGTCTAGCCTGCAGTTACCTAAAGTACCATACATGCACAGAACAATGCATCCAATAGTCCGTGTCCAGACACACTATCTAATGTATAGTCAAGGAGAGCCTCGTGAACATCCTCCCCCTCGAATACGCGATGAGTTACCTCGCAGCGTATTCCACTACTACCTAGCTTACAATTGCATGTGTTGTACCTCTATCGGTCTAATCACTGCGTGGCAAAAAGATGTGGTAAACATAAAAATGATAACACTGTGGTGCTTATGTGATATGCCTGCAATGTATGCTGCATCTATTGAACTACTGCTTCTGTCTTACTTGTGTTACCACCATAACTGAATACGTACAGATCTAGCTGCCATCTTCTCTATGCATCTAGCGGGCAGATCTTGGTGATGGGACGGGTGATTCGCTTCCCGCCGACTTGCACCTCCACAACACGCACGTGACCATCTGGGCCCGGCTTGGTCTCCATGACGCGTCCGAGTGGCCAGTGCCCACGTGGTGCATCCGGTTGCAATACCAAGACGATGTCTCCTGCCGCCACGTCTCTCCGTTCTTTTAGCCACTTCCGTCTCGCGTTGAGAGTCGGCACCCACTCCTTGAGCCAGCGCCGCCAGAACTGCTTCACCACGTCTTGAACTTGCCGCCATCGCTGGTTGGGGTGGAAACCTGTGGTGTCTACGCTTTCTGGGGCGAACTGACCGCCCATCTGACCCGTCAGAAAGTGGTTCGGCGTTAGCGGCGAGCTGTCGTCAGGGCTGGCCGACTGGTACGTGAGCGGTCTGCTGTTCATAAGGCTTTCGGCGTTCGTGAGCGCAGTTGCCAGCATCTCATCCGTCAGGTCAGCATTGCCGAGAACTGCCTTGAGGGCGCGTTTCGCCGCCTTAACCATTACTTCGTGGACTCCGCCGAAATGCGGGGCTAGCGGCGGGTTGAATTTCCAAGCCACCCCACGGTTGGCCAGGGACTTGAAAACTGCGTCGTTATCCAGAGCCTCCACCAGTTCCCTCAGCTCACGATCGGCTGCCACGAAATTCGTCCCATTATCTGAAATGATCTCCAGCGGTTTTCCACGGCGCGCGACCATCCTTGAGAACGCGTTAAGAAACGAGCTGGCGTCGAGGCCGTAGCTCATCTCGAGGTGTACGGCTCGGGTTAGCAGGCAGGTGAAAACGCAGAGGTAACGTTTGGCTTGGCTGCGTCCTCGCCCTTGTTTCGTTAAGTATGGGCCGCCATAGTCTACCGAGGCTCTAGCGAAGGCTCTCAACGGTGTAGCGAGCCGGACCTTCGGCAACGGCGCCATAACTTGCTCTGCCGTCCTGGCTTTGCGACGTCGGCACACCATGCATTCAGCTTCCCACTGGCGTATCTCCTCTCGGGCAGACTCCAGCCAGAACCGTTCTGTCAATGCCGCGAGCGTCTCGTTCGTGCCACCATGCTGTCGCAGCTCGTGGTGGTGCTTCACGATTAGCGACGTAACTTCATGTTTCCGGGGTAGAATGATCGGGAAGCGCGTGCTGTACGGGAGCCAGTCAGCTAGGCGGGTGCGGCCGTCACAACGTAGTAGGCCATCCTCATCCAGTCGCGGACACATCTTTGCTAACCGCGATGCTGCTGGCAGAGTCTTCCCCTTCTTCAGTGCGCTGATGTCGTCACCAAATGCATCCTGCTGCGCTCCGTAGATGATGGCAAGTTCCGCCGCTTCCAACTCTTGGATGTTTAGCTCTCCGCTGACGCGGTCCCCTTGTCTGCAGTTATTGACGAACCGGTTGATCCATGCCTGAACTCTCACAAGTCTCGTCCAGTTGGAGTAGCGGCTTGGTTGCACGACGGTGATCTGCTGCGTCACGAATGCGCTCTCAGACGCCTGCACAGCTGCCTTGCGAACTTCCGGGTCGTCGCTCAACCCCGAAGTATCCTTTAGCTCCGTGGCTGGCCAGGTTGAGCCGTTGCTCAAAAACGCCGGTCCTTGCCACCATAGGTCTGCGTTGACCAGGTCGTTGACGCAAGCTCCTCGTGATGCCAGGTCAGCTGGGTTCTGTCCCGTAGGGACGTAGCGCCACTGTCGCGGTGCGGTACGCTGCTGGATGTAGCTGACGCGATTCGCGACGAATGGTTTGAACCGCCGACTGTAGCTACGAATCCAGTGGAGGACCGTCGTGCTATCGCTCCAGAAGGTGACAGTACTAAGTGGCACGTCGAGCACTTTACTCATTCGAGTGGCAACCTGATGGCCGAGAACTGCCGCCATGAGCTCGAGCCGGGGAATGCTGGTAGCGGCGGTGGGCGCGACACGACTCTTCGACACGAGGAATCTGCACTCCGCTGTTCCATCTTCGCGCACACTTCTCGCATACAGAACAACTCCATAGGCTTCGCTGGACGCATCGCAGAATGCATGCAGCTCGAGCTTGCCGGTCGATGCTTCAAATTGACGCGGGACTCGGACGTTGCTGAGCTCGCTCAACTCTTGGAACCATTGCTGGGCTTTATCAACTATCGCGTCGGGAAGTTGCTCGTCCCAGTCGACGCCACTCATCCAGCATTCCTGCATCAGCATCTTGCCTCGAACGACGAACGGCGATATGAAGCCGAGTGGGTCGAATACGGCTGCTGTCCGCTGCAAGAGGTAGCGCTTTGTGATACGCTTGGGCAGATCCGGTTGCTGCACGCGGAACGTGAACTCGTCATCGAGGGCAGACCATGTCACTCCGAGCGTTTTTACCGATGGTAGGTCTCCCACCGTCAGGTCGACATCCGCTGCGCGTTCTTCTTCTGGGATCGTACTCAGCAACGCAGTCGAGTTGGATAACCACTTTCTCGGTCGCATGCTTGCCTTCCCCCACAGCTCCATTAGGTCGTCATGGAGCTTGGTACCGTCGGCGACCGTGGCAGTACTGTCCATCGTATCGTCCATGTACGTACTGTCCAGGATGGCCTCTGCTGCTGATCGGTGGGTATCGACGCTTGCGTCCGCGACTTGGCGGGCGACATACTGAGCCAAGAATGGCGACGCGTTTACACCGAAGACTAAGCGGTTGAACTGGTACTTCTTGACCGGACCATCGGAGGCCGGGTCCTGCCACAAAAAGCGGTGGTACGGCCTGTCCTCGGGGCGTATTGAAACTTGCAGATACATCTCTGCTACGTCGCAGGCAACGGCGATGGGCTTTCTTCGGAACCGGGTGAGAACATCGCAAAGGTCTCGCTGCAACTTCGGGCCGGCGTGGATGGCGTCGTTAAGTGAGATGCCGTGGTAGGAGGCGGCTGCGTCAAACACAATCCGGACCTTAGTTGTCGTCTTCTGTGGCCGCACAATGGCGAAGTGTGGCAGATACCAGCATTGGTCGGTAGGCGCTTCGTCAGTGACGTCGGTGATATATCCTTTCTCGAGGTAATCTTGGATCACTCTGGCGTATGCTCGGGCTACTTGCGGTTCACGTTGCAGTCGTCGACGTGTTGACTCCAGCCGCTTAGTCGCCATATCAACGTTGTTGACTAACTCCGCCTTACGACTGTTCCATGGTATCGATACTTCATACCGGCCGTCTACTAGCCGCGTGGAGTCTTCCACTAATTTCACCGCTGCG